TTATTCATTTCAGAGCACAACCCTGAGAGTGTCCCCTATGTGCAAGTAAATAAAAGACTTGACCAGGTGTGGAAACCATCTGCTGAAACACGACAGTAAAACCACATCGTCCCTGTGTTGCCATTTGAACAGCAAAAGCAAGGACTAACAGGCCTGCTACGGCCACAGGCCTAGTTTTCAACAAACCTGTGCTCGCCCAAGTGCCACAACGGGAAGGAGCACGTTGCCCCCCCTGTCCAGTATCTGCCGCACTTTCTTGAGGAAGTTCTGTTCCCTCTCTTGCCTTGGCAGGTGCTTCCTCACCCCATATGTGCTCTCCACGATCACTGGTCAACATAGCAAGCGTGTCATAGAGTCAGGGATCAGAACTCAGGGCCACATGTGCTCATGTGCTTGCTTGGCAGCACCACGAATGTTCCACTAAGTTAGCCATTGGACCAGATGGTGACAAAAACTGCTTGCACAATGTTCCATTGAGTTTTCATGACTACAAGCTGACTGGATTTACAAGTATTAAGGTGTAAGCTGTTACATATCCAACGGCCTGCATTGGAATTCTATCAGAAGAAGCCTATCCGAAATGAAGCCAGAGGTCTATCCATGGCAATTATCTTGCTGTTGATTCACCACCTTCTTTTGTTGAGGTGCACACATCTGAAACCAGCTGGTGACAGTGATATTGTGAAGAACAGCCAAGTCTGGCATTTGACTGGTGGGCAAGATTCACCACTTTCACTAGCACAGCTAGTGGGCATTCCTCCCCGAAGCATTATTGCACCAGAGGTTCAGCATAGACTGGGAGATGCATCAGATTGTCCAGGAACCATGCAGACTGGCATGGGAACATGTCGGACTTCTCTGGAGCATGACCAGGAGTTTTCTTGTCTACAAATAATAGAAAGGGATGCACTTAGGCAGGGACTCAAGTTTCTGTGATGGACGTAGGCTTTTGCTTATGACTGGCACCATCACATCCAGTCCCCCAAACCCCTCACCCACTTAACAAACAATGGGATACGATCAGCAACACTTGTCTGGAATTCATGCCCAACATCGTCTCTAAGGTGCAAGGGCAGTGTTTTGTCATGTTTATGTGACAAATGTAATAAAAGGATCTGACACTCACCCCAACCCATACCACCACAATTTGCTGTCCAACAAGTCAGGGGCGGGCAACAGTGGCAAATCTCTTTGTTATCAATTTGCCCACACCATCGAGCAGTGTCATGCTCTCCAAAATGACCAAACTATTTCACAGCCTGTTGCACATGCACTGCATCTACACTGCCGGTCAAGTTTTTCTCAGGATCAGCACACCACACAGGCGGCCAGGCCACCTGGGCATGGCAACTGCCGCCCCTTCCACGCCCTCAACTGCAAGGTTGAAGTTGCCAAATTCTCAGCAGCATGCAATGGGCAACAGCCTCACACCAGTGGCGATCCCTCCCCTCCCCCCTAACACCGCCACCACCGTTTTAGGCTCCAACCTCTCTTGTTACCTGGCATAGCTACAGTTTTGGGTGAGTAATTGTTGCAAACAAGCACAGTGGGTGTGCTCCTTTAGTTCATTTAGTAGCCTTAACAAAAGAATCAGCACAACTTGAACATGAACGCCAGTGTCATCACCCACCAGTGTGAGGCTTCACTGGGGGCAGGTCTGCTCCTGACAAGTGCCTGTCTGGCACTCGGCTGTAGTCACCAGTATACAAGATGCGCATGCCAGCTATCTCGACCATGAACATCGCTGCGCCCAAGACGTGGCCTGCCCGGTAGGCACACACCTGACCAGACATCATCCCAACTTGAAGACCATCTTAGGATCGGTGTGGTAACTGCAAAAAACTATCCCGAAATTGGAGCTTCGAACAGCAAAAGAGGAAGAGTAGACACTGCCATCCCTGGCCACATCCATGGGAATTTTTGATGTGCAATACTCTTCTCTGCTTCTCTAATTCAGTTTTTCGATTTTTTACACTTGCTTTGTTCACAGGTTTACTAACACACACCTCCCAAGTCCATTTTACAGTTCAGAAAGGGAATTGTGCGGCGCTGGAGCTGGTTTGCATTTTCTAATCGGCAGGTGGGGTGCAAGTGCACGGTGCCTTGTGCAAAAAGTCGCTCAAATGAAACATTGTGCACAAAGCTGGCCCAAGCCGTCCAGAAAACCACATTGAACACAGCACGCAACGCCAAGGTTAAAGGAGAACTACAAACAAATTGAAAGATTTCAGATGGAGAATGCTGGCCTCACACAAACAACACCACTCCAGACAATAGACATGTGGGAGATTGAGTGGTTAACTGCCTGACCTCTGGTCAGCAACAACAGCAACCCCCTGCAGTTTCTAGCTGGGTGGGAACAGGCCCGTGCGTCTTCTCCCAGGATGGGCATGACAATTGATCTTGTAAATGTGATCCGCTAATATGGAATCAAAACTAAACAAAGAAACAAACAACATCGGTACTCACAAGTGCCAGACAATACTCAAAAACAATCAAATCAATACGCACTCGTATGCCATCAATGTCTACAGTCTGGTGGAAGTCGATGACCTCGATCAATTCGATGCTGTTGTTGAGGTCATCCTCTGTGTATAGCTGGTTCTCACCACCTTGGCTGACTTTCAGGAAGTCAGTCAACAGCGTGCGGTAGATGGCCTTTGTGGGATGAGTCATGAACACGCGTCCCTGCAAAACGGAATGGCGATCCCAATAGTTGAGTCATCAAGGCAGACATGCCCTGTCAAGGGCCACAAGATAGGGCCAGAAGTGGTATGAGTACATCAAAAGACTGTGATTCTGCACTCCCTGGTTCTAGCTTACAAGAATGGCTTGGTACATCTTCCTTTGCTGCCGTTCCCAACGAAAGGACAGACACCACATTTCACCTGCCAAGTAATCTGATGCAGACATATTTCTTCAACGGATTGCAGTGCTTGGGATCTTGCAACAAATTTGAGAAATGCCAAAGGGTTCAGCACAAATCTGCAGCCTGTGACACCCAAGTCGTTGTGTGTAACAGTGGCAAAAAACTGCCTGTGCCGCAAGAACTGTGCTATCTCAGACTCCATATACTGCATAGATCCTAATATGCGGACTGGATTAGAATAGATCAGCATACATATCAAGAGAGTCTTTCCAGCATGTTCACATATTTTACTTCCTGTCACAAAAATTTGACAGACATTGCCAGGCATCTTACTGGCAACAAAGGGAATGGCCACGTCATCAGAATTCTCTCCCAAGCACTTCAGGAAAGCCGAAATCTACAGCAGCAGTATGGTGTATCGACTGGCTGCAACAGTCTTTCTCATCCTGAGAACGCAGCTAAGCTGATCGCTATTCAGTGACAAAGCCACTCCACTCACATCAACCTGACCATGAGCATTTGCATGCAATCGGATTTCAAACAATTTCAATCAATTCAATGAGTACAATCAACATTCATAAATCAAAGAGCACGGTGACCGCAATACTGTGCACGGAGCAGTGTTTGTCCGAATTGCTGCAAGGCCACTGCAAAGAAAATAAACCCAATCAGAAAATGGCCAGCTACCTTGAAATCTGTGTGCCCGATGAGAAAGGGCACTGCTGCGCAGTGGTCAAGATGGAAGTGCGTGACAAGGCACACATCCACACAGGAGATGTCGAGCTGGTCAAAGAGGGGCAAGCTGGCCAAACCCTCATGGCCAGGGTGGATTCCACAGTCAAGCATAACTGTCTTGCCCCTGGGAGCCAAGGCACACGTCAATGAGAATCAACTTCGTGCACAACATTTGACTATATAAGAGGAAACAAGCACTTCATCTTTGTGTGCAACAATGATTGTAGTGATACTGAACACATCGAATGTGGAATTGGGTGAGACTAGATACAGGCAATATAGGACGTGGCTGTGATTATATGCCAACAAAATCCATGTCGGTGGTCTACACTCTCCACAAGCATCTCTACAAGCAAACGCTAGCCAGATGGAAGTCCTTGGGTGCAAGATCCGTCTAGGGGACACTGTGCACACAAGCAGATGAGGAGCAGATGAGATGGAAGGTCATACTGGCCAAAGGGGGCCAATCATCGGTTTCAATTCTTTACAAGTACCCCCTTGGATGGACAGCTGGGTTACCACAAACACCAACACAAACACAGTATCTTTTGCTTCTCAATTTGAGATTCCTGAAAAATCTGCTTCATTGCCCAAAACAGTCTGTTTGGTCAACAGGCCCTGAACGTACTAAAACTAAGTCCAGCAGTGCAGATGCCTTTTACCCTTCCCTTGGGGTTGTTTCAATGGATTTCTGCCAGCGCAAGTTGTGCATCACCAGAGGGTGGGACCAATTGAAAGGATACAAACACTGGTCAGACGTTGCTGCGCCCATCAGCGCCCATCAGGCGCAGTTAGATTCGTCCCCAAGCGCTGTGACAGCGCAACCCATCGAATTGGCCAAAAAAAACTTGCACCAGCCCGACCATCAACGCGCAATTCTCCGTTCCCACAATCCGCTCCCCTCTCCGTGCCACACAGCGCTCACGCCGCACCGCGCGCTCCACGCCGGCGCAGGACCTATCGACCGCCCCGGGCACTCACTTGTAGCTGGCGATGATGCACGAGCGGCCCACCTCCTGCCCGGCGCCCAGCGGCATGATTTGCACGCGCGGGTCGTCGGGGCCGGTGGGCGCAAACGGATGCGGCTCCGAGGGCAGGCCGCCGAGGTCCATGCCGCGCGCCACGGCTAAAGGGGGGCTCCCCGGGACGGCAATCGGAAGGGCGGTGCGAGGCCTTGTCGAGGGGCGACGCCAGGTGGCGGGTGAACGGGGACGGTATGCCCGCTGCAACGGTGTGCGTGCACATCAAGAACGAAGGTTCACAGTCAGGTTCCTCACTGGCCTGACATGCCTGCCATTAGCGTTAAACACAAACATACATATACCCTGACACACTGCACACCCAATACCCTGGACACCCTACAATATTCGATGGATGGGGCCTATCCCCTATACCACCTGCACCCGACACCCTATACACCCTAACATGCGGTGCACGACCAAAACATAATGCGCCAGTCAGGCTGAATGGGCCCTTTACTACTGGCGTTCTTGATGCCCAAAGAGTGGCTGCAAGGGGGCGACAAATGATGAGCAGGCTATGTGGATGCATCAAGGTTTATGTCGCCCCCCAGATCCTACGTTACTTGTAGTTCAACTTTCTTTGGCTTCCCAGCCCCTCTGGCTTGCTTGTCATTCGGTCACCAAGCCCCCCTTAAATGTGGGAAAACAGTAAATGAAAGCAAGTGCTGTCAATATTCTGGCAGTTTCATGTGCTGTATGTACTGGAATGGGACTAAAGTGTATGCAACGTAGAGTGAGAAAATTGCTGGCACTGTCATGTGCCAGATGCACTGCTGTACTTCAATGGAGTGCATTACAGGTGCACTGCAGAGCAGGACCTGTTCTGCACCTGGTGGAGAAAAAAGCGCCTGTTCCTTTCGCGTGGCTTGGCTCATGGGATGGCTTTTTGATCGCACTCATGTTTGTTTGCGACAGCATGCGTTTTTGTGGGAGGATGCTGTGCATCTCAGAAAGAAATGCCTTGGTCAGGACATGTTGTCTGCAAGAAATCTTGTGAAGTTGTTGTGGCTGTTTCTCTCACAACTTTACAGTGCCTTGACGTGTTTATAGGAATAAATAACTGACTAAATGATTTGCAGCTATCCCTAGGCTTGCAACGGCCATGTTAACATGAACATTCTCAATAGTCAGAAATGCAGTGTTTGAATGGTGGATTGGAGCTCAAACACCGGGCTCCCCCCTTCATATTTTGCCTCACGATTCCGTTCTTGGTGATGGAGGAGAGCCCGTGTTTTAGCAGCCCATACCCCGAACTGGTTTTTGAGTGAAAGGACGTCTATGGCGCGGTATGTACTTGCCAAGTACATAGCCAATAGTCACATGTGCTGAGTTCGCAAATGATTGAACTGATGTATAGGCATTTGCGATGGTGGGGATCTTGGGTATGCAAATAGGTAGGCCCGTAGCTGTGATAGAAGAAGCAATCTGGTCGAGTTTCGTGGCGCAGTGGGCATGGGAAGTTGTGTTCGAACTTTGAGCTGGACAATATAACATGTACGTCCGAGCTCTGTGTGGGAGCAGCCTTGCGATACTGTGTGTTGGCGCCGTTATGCCGACGTTGAGCGTGTGTGGTGTTCTCGCTTCTTGTGAGCACTCCAAGATTGCGGCTTGAGTCATCCCGCAATTGTAGAAACTGAATTGGTGGATTATTTCCTACTGTATTTCCTGCCCACTCCTGAAGAACCAGAATCCAATATTCCAGTTTTCCTGTGTTAAACTCTTTGTTATTCATTGTGCCACATCAGCACAATGATGGGCTCGTGGCAAAAGGCACCTTTGAAAAAGCTAGAATTCGTGGGGATGCGCTGGCCCCTTCATCACAAAACTAATGCGATCGGTGATGGATAGATTACTGAGAATGTAGGCTGTGTTACAACTCCTGAATGGCAACAAAATAGTTCAAAAGGAGCAGTCATTCTACTTATAAAACGGCCCCCATTTTTCATGGCAGAATTCTGGGTAGAGCTTGCAGTTTCAAGAGCGGCCCAACGGTGGGGTGCAGTTGGGCGGCAATCCAACATTATAAATCTAGGCCTTTCCAAATCCAATATTGTGGAACAGCGTAGTCATTCCTCAAGCGTGGCCACAATTGACGATCGACGACAGTCTGCGACCTGTGCTGTTGGTGAAGTGAACAGTTGCCTGATTCCCTGCAAGTTGGATGTGATGAACAATGATCGATGTGAAATCTAGGCTGACAAAGCCTGAGCTGGTCGGTGGAGACATTTTGGCTTCAATGTTCAGCCTTGCTTGCTCAAAAACGCTGAATTGAAGTGCCTCGCTCCGGCAGCGCATGTGCGAAGAAGTGGATGGCCTGGATCCTCGCATTGGTGACGCAGCAGCAGCAGCTCGCCAGCCCCAATGGGCAGCTGCGCATGGAGGCTCCTTTAACACCTATCTTTCCCATTCGGATATTGCTTTTCTCCGCTGGTCAATTCTAGTGGGGAAAGTGTCTTCTAAGCAGCAACAGTGTGTCGACGTTGCTCACCCACGGTCGCAAAAATTTTGGGAATAACCTGGTTTTATTTCGTTCTGTTCGGCATGTGCGTCTGCAAGAATTGCGTTGGGTTCCTTGATTTGTCAAGAGCATGGCCAAGAAATACTGGAATTAGTCACAGCTGTTTTGTGCCAGAAATCATAGTTGTTTCTGCCGTTCATGATGGCACTGCCATTACAAGAATACCGACAAGAGTGCTGTTGATTGGTGGGATTTTGGACATTTCAGAGCAGCGCGAAATTCGTAGCAATCCTGTTTGATGCTTAATTCTTTGCGCAAGAGCAGACAGCAAGTGTAAGAGGCTTTTACCTGCTTTGCCATGATGGAAGGTTGAGTGAGAGAATAAATTACCAAGTGTCAATCTTCAAGGCTCCACTCCCCATCAGAATCAAACAGGCGGTCTATTTGACTGAAGGCGACTTGCACCCTAATGACCTTGCGGCTGCGCCTACTTTGAAATATTAAACCCTTCCGCATCAGAAAATTTCACCGTTATTCTTTTTGCTCTGCATTATGTTTCTCACAGCGTTATTTCTACTTCTTTTTACGTTGCTCCACACAGAAAGGCCAAGATTTGCGTTACTATTATAATGTTTTCTCCGCAAAAAAAGACCGAGCGTTACGTTACTATGCGGAAGGGTTCAATCTTGTACAGTAGTGTGACGACCCCCTTGAGCACGGTCCGCAGCTCGAAGGAACGTGCGCCTGGCCTGAATTCCATCAAGGTATGTTCCAGTTAGGTAATGGATAATGCTGCAGATCAAGGGCACCAGGCAGCTGTTCGGAAGCCACCTGACCTCGGAATCGCTGCGCAACATCATTGCGAGTCCTCACCTACACTCCAGGTCTCACTCCTCATCGCTGATGACAAGAGGGTCTCACCCGCCCATCCCAAAACGCCTTTAAACCGAGCCGCGGCCGACCACCTGCAACCCGCCTCCGCAGCACGCCCGCGCCCGCTCCGCTCAGAGCCCTCCCTCGGCGCGCTCCCCACAGCCCACACCTCAGCGAATTCCGGTTCAGGTGCGCCTCCCTCAGGGCAATCATTCCAATCCCCTGACCTGGAACATCGACCCGACCCAATCCTTGGGCTCCCATCTGCCGCCCCCCCGCCCGCAGACCGGCGGCCGTGGCATCGTCATGAGTCGCCGATCGCGCCCCCCGCGCCGCCCTCATTCCCGTGCGACCCGGCCCCGTCGCCTCCCGTCCCCGCGCATTCCACCCCCCGTTTCCATGCACGGATCTCTGGGGAATCTCGATTCCCTCGCGCCGCTGCCCGTTGCGAAGCTGCCGCGGATTGGAACGCCGATGCTGCTCGGCGATGGCGCCGGCCTCCTTGAGCTTGCCATGCCCGCCCGTTCCTCGGACGACTCGCTGTGGGATTGTCAGATTGTGAAGGACGTTGCGTTCGCATCACGGCCACGTTGGACACCGCCTGGGGACCCTCGTGGCCCTCCTCGTGGGCACAGGGACAGGCCGCGCGCCTGCCAATGACTCCCACGCTCCCTCGTTTCCGTCTGAATTATTTTTCCGTCCAAGTGCTTTCTTCCGTCGGGCGTTGTGCGACCTTGGGCGACTGCGATTCAGGTTTCCCAGGTGCGGAGTCATGAAGGCGACATCCATGAAGGCCCTGGTGCTCGGCCTGGCCACTGCGTGCCTGCTGTTCGCGGCCGCCCACGCAAAGCCGAAGGACCAGGTCGGCACCGGCATCATCACGACCACCAGCGAGCTGAACGCCACGGCGGCGATGGACAAGCTCATGGAGATAGTCACGGCGCGGGGGTTCGCCGTGGCAGTGCGTGTCAACCACGCGGCAGGTGGGTGCTGGCGGTGAGAGATGAAGGCGCGCCCAGGCGCCGCTTTGGCCACAGTGGGTTCCTTTTTGGGAGCGGACGAGGACCTGGTGGCTTCCTGTGCAGGATATCGCTTCTGGTTTTGCACTGCGTCGATTTCAGATGCCGCACTGAGCTTTTGGCTCACGGAAGCGGCAGACTTGCTTGGGTCCACAGTGTGCGTTGTTTGACAAGCTGGACAGTTCATGTTTGCAATGGACTGCTGCTGAGTTGATTGGGTGCCAGTTGCGACTGTTGTGGGAGCAGTTTTAGTGTATGCCACGCTTTTCGACCTGCCACAATGGCGCATGAGACGATTTTGAACAGCCTTTTCACAACTCGCCAAGAGCAGCAAACACGCCCAACGCTGCAATCTGCCATTAACCTTCAGATCTTGTCTTTGGTGGCTATCATTCTGCCAATGAAGTTCTCTATTGTGAAGAGATGGTGGTCATTGACTTGACCAGAACCATGATGCACATCTGGTTTCAAGCAGGACAAGCCTTTCTCTTAGAAGCTGCGACGGCATCTGTGCATAGGGTCTTCAACCTGAAGCACTCTGCAAGTTCCTGCTGAGTAGGGGGGTGCCCAGCTTAAGACCTGCATCACTGCACCAAAGGGTATTAATCGTGGCCACCTATGTATAATTGAACATGTCAAGAGTGGTGGTACAAAAAGACGCCAACTTCATGACATGCCTCAATGTGCGACTGGAAATATTAAGAATATTGACATGTTGCTTGTCATGGCCACGTGAGTAATTGTCAATAGCCGGACGCATAGTGAAATCCCATATCTGACTGGATGTGTGCCTCCTTGCGCAGCTGCTGCCACTGTGGACATGGACCTCCGCCCAACAGAGACCCTCATCTTTGGAAACCCGGTAGCAGGCACACCCCTGATGCAGGAGCAGCAGTCCATAGCACTTGACCTGCCATTGAAGTTGGCCGTGTGGCAAGATGCAGACAACAAGACGATCATTGCGTACAATGACCCAGAGTTCCTTGCAAGCCGGCACGGAATCACTGAAAACAGCATGCGAATCAGTGCCCAAGCCGATTTCCTCAAGAACGTCACTGCCGAAGCGGCTTCTTAGGAGACATGTGATTTGCTGGTGGCCCAGGGTTGGGTAGTGGCATGTGGCCGTTGGCATTCTACGGTGAATGATCAAGAGTAAGCGTCGTTCTTGGCAAATGCACTCTCATATTGGCCTGAATAACATGGTGCTATGATTCGTCACCTCATAGATGGCCAGCTGATTGATGTGTCGACTGCAGCAGAAGTACAAACGGTGCTTGGTACTTTGGCAGATGCAGCCGCCACCTGGCTGCCCTTTCACTGATGGGCATCTGGGGGGTAGATTTTAATCTCAAGCAATGTTGTGCTATGAGGATGGGGGCAACCCTGGCCAGTGTTGCACCCAGAAAGTGTGAGGCTTCTTCGACTACCCAGATTATCATTTGGTGACTTCATTTGTCAGATGCAGTACATGCTGCTTTTGGGGTTTGGGTTGCACTGACAACTTTGAAGACAGGGCTGTCACTCGAAGGACAGGGCAAGGGGCTGGATGCCTATCAATTGGGAGTTTCATACCTCATTGCACCTTTGGCTGCACAGCAGCACCACCTGTGGGCTCCTCTGGCCAGCGCCACCCCACTCAACTGCCAGTGGCAGACAAGCATTGTGGGCCACAGCCAGTTCACTGACATATTGAGGACCATCCAACTTTGGCCTTCATAACCTTGTGGGTGTTTGGGCTCACCCTGACCAATTGGATTTATGCAACAAAAAAAGCACAAATGCACCATCTACCATGCATGCCATCGGGCATGTCTGGAAGGATCTGCTACCATTCTTTTACATATTGTGACAATGTCAAACAACCGGATTTCAGGGCACAGTGATGCCCGCCATCTCCTTGGCAGGGAACAGAGCATCGACAAAGGTTACAGGGTCAAAGGCCTGCAGGTCTTGGAGCGTCTCTCCCACCCCAACGAACTTGACAGGCACGCCGATCTCGTTCACCACGCTCACAACCGCCCCCCCTCTTGCTGTGCCGTCAAGTTTCGTCAGCACCAGCCCAGTCAGGCCAACAAACTCGTGGAACTCGCGAGCTTGGTTCAGCATGTTCAACCCTGCATGCAAACGGCAGGAGCAGCTCATCAGTCCAGCAATCAATCCATGCTGCGTGACAAGGCAGACACAATTGCACCACACAAGGAGTGGGATGGACGATCTTTGCAATCGAAATGAAGCGGCTGGGTGCCAAGGCCACACAACGCTGTCTGCGCACCAGCGCTGCAACATGATGTCCTGAAATCAGATTCTGGCACCCTGCATGGACATCCAAAAATGAAACGCATCCAAGTAGCACAGCGCGAACAGGCAATCACGCACAGCGCTCGTCCCCCAGGCTGTGTAAATACTTGCATTGTGCATGGAGAAAGATGAATGCAAGCCACTATTTGCATCAACGACTCGTCACCAACGAACCAAGTGCAGCAAGTGCCCTTTGACGCAACTGTTCAAGCTTGCTTGTTCAAACCCAAGTGTGTATATCCACTGGGATTGCAGTTAAAAGTTTGACACTGCCAGCAGGTAGAAGGCGACGATGGTCACTTTTAAGGACATCCAGCGATGCACAAGCACCGTACATTTCTCAACAACTGGACAGCGCAGCGACCACCATTGCAGCAATGCCTGCACCAGGTCACCAGCGACTGTGCAGTTGGTTTTGTGCACACAAGCATGCCAGTAGCACTCAAGCACGCCAGTAGCACCATTCCAGGACAACCTCAATCATGTGGAAACAGAAATGATGTGGAGTGTGAACAAATATGCACATATTTCATCCCTGTAACCCAGTCCTTCACTTTACTTCCAGCAGTTCAAACATAATGCACATAACAAGACAAGCAGTTTGGGTTCACAATCCCGCCAGAACCCCTTCCAAGCCATTTCGTGCCGCACCAGTGGTTCCATCCAAAACCAGCAGGACTTCGTTGGGCGCATTTGGCATTTTGTTTCCAAGGACCCTACGGCACTTTTTCAACTCCTCCATCAGGCCATAGTTGGTGTGGAGTCGCCCAGACGTGTCGCAGATAACGATGTCAATATCCCCTGCCTTCATCGCCTGCTCCACTGTCTTGTACAGGATCTTGCTTGGCCTGGAGCCCTCCTCGAAGGGTCCCATCTGTGCCCCTGACCTGTCGCACCATTTCTTCAGCTGCTCAAAGGCAGCTGCGCGAAAGGTGTCCCCGCAGCCCAGCATGACCTGGAGAGGAAGCAGCGCAGTACATCACTTGCTACCAACAACAATCTCCCGCATGGGGTCCTGTGGATTTGGTCATATAGCATGCAGCATTGATTTGAAAATCCTATCGGTGGCCTTTATGGCATCTGTGTCTGTGTTGCCTGTACAGACATGAGGAACGTCAGCATACCATCACAAGCCAAAGAAATCAGTGTTGCCCTCATTGCTGTATCACACAGTTTGGTGCAATCTTAGAGCACACGGGTTTTGGATGACGAAGTGGAGCGATGGCACAAACTGTTACGGATCGCCTCTGGCCAAGGCAAAACGGCAAGATTTACCACAGTGGCAGATGCAAATGGTATAAGAAGCCAGGGCAAACGACAGCTGCATCTACCTTTGCCCCTTCCTGTGAGAATCTGTGCGACAGCTTTCCAATCGTTGTAGTCTTGCCACCACCATTGACTCCGACTATTAAAAGGACACTGGGTTTGTCATCACCAAGTTTGAGTTCAGTGCTGCCACCCTTCTGGATGAGGGTGTCCACAATCGCCGACTTCAGCTCAACCAGAATGTCATCCCCAGACTGAATTTTCCCAGCCAGAATCTTCTCTCGGATATCGTCACACACTTGAAGCGACACCTTGGGTCCAAAGTCAGCCATCTGAAACAATGGCAACATTGGAATGAGAACAGAAGTCATGATGTGGAAACAGAATATTGTACTGCTTGAACAAGTGCTCCACACCAACAACTCACATTTTCATTGCAATTCAACATGTTGCAGCACACTCAATATTCAGAATAACAATTCAGGCAAGCAAGATAAAGATGAGACAAAGCTCAAGAAACAACTGTTGTCGTTGCTGGTCAACTCACTGACAAAATGTTTCCATTCACTCCAGCCCAGGTCACGCAGTGCAACAATCTGGATGTGCAAGACTTGCAAAGCCTAGCAGTCCAGTGACGTGCACTGGGTACTGTTGGACCTGCCTTTCGCCTGCTGATTCGATCTTTGTGCAACGCATGTTTTTGCCTTGTGGTTCTACAATGTTAGGAGAGACAACTTTGTGCGAAGTTGCTTACTGCTGTTAAAAGTGCAGTCATTCAGCCCAAGGCTAGCTGCATACCGCAAATCAGATATTTGTCAGGGCCAAACCAGCATGGCAGCTGTGCACTGGCAGACAAGTGCAAACTGAGGGCTGATGTCATCTGGATCCTGTGTGCTGATTCAGTGTTCTTCAGTTGTGCACATATTCCTTGGTAGCATGGGTTTCTGAGGCTGACAAAAACTGAGGGACCGGATGTGCCTGTACACAATGTCGGTTTCACACAGGCGAGTCAAATTTTCCCCCCAAACCTACTTTGGCAGGCAAGAATAGATGAACCTTGGATTGCAAGTTCAGTTCAGTCCCCGCTTATTTCACATGTGTCTCTCAATGGGGAACTTAATCAATAAGCCAATAAGGCATTTCAATGCAATTCACCATCAGCAGTCGTTGGTTCTTTCTTGTGCTGAGAAGGCAGGATATGTTTTGGTTACCTAACTGTGCAGTCTGCACACACTGAAGATCTAACAGGTGAAATGTGGAAAGAATCTGGAATTCAGTGGCCGCGCCATAGATTCCTGCCTGCTTTGTACTGCGCCCTGTATCAGATGGCATGATATCCATTGAATCAGTCCATCCCTTATGCAAGAAAGCAAGCAGAGCACGAAAAGAATCTGGGGCCAGGAAGAAAACCAACAAGACAACAAAACAAGAGCACTGGTAGCACAGTTTGACGCTCTTTATGCACATATCACTTGTTTCAGTTGTACATGGCGCTGCTCTTCCGTGGGTTACATTATGATTCAACATCAAGTGGCATCATGACTCTATCTTGTGATGGCCATCCACCGATGCAGCCATGATCATGATCAAGAATCTCATCCTCTAAATAGGGCCAGAATCGTCCAGCAAAAAGCAAAATGCCTTTTTGCTTTGCATATGTGGCTGTGACAAGGATGCTCAGGACATTTGGTGGCATTATAAAAGTGTTTCTGAAACTGTAGCATCTTGTACCAAGTTGGGCATTCTTGTGTACTGGGTCTGCGGTACAGTTACTAAAAAAGAACTTTCACTCTCAGCAGCAAACCATGCAAGCAGACTACAGCAGTAAATGGATGCCTGTGCTCAGCTCACAATTAAACTCTCTTCCAGTGCTTCCAGGGTGTCCTCTGTCCCCTCCAAAGTCCAGTAGGTCAAAAGTTCATCCACGACCTACGCACAAAAAATGTGTTTTCCAACATCCACTCATTCCCAGCAGTGTGTGGATGCGGCCTTCTGGGTCCACACTGAATCAGTGACTGTTTAAGCAAAATTGTCGCCAATATCAAACCATTATCGCCAATCCATTCACAGCCGAGGACTTCTGCATCGCCTTCTGCGCCAAGGCAAAGATCCTGACGAAAAGTACTGATAGGAAAGGGTTTGCCCAATGCATCACATGTTGCCTCCTCGCGGAAACGACTATCTTCATTGCTATCAACGCAACCTTCGCCAACCTCACCCCCAGCTTTTCCCTCATCTTCGTCGTCCCCTTGAAAATCCGGTCGAAATCCACCTGCGCCTTCTCCTTGAACACGCGGCCGATCTTCCGCAACACGCTGGCGCCGCTCTCTGCCTGCCAGGCGGAGAAATGGCGCGTCAGGCAACTTGGCATCCATACATGCATCTTTGACAGGAAAGACCCAGCATTATGCGATGCTCGCCTCCCCCAGCGTGCTGGCCACAACAAGGCAAAGTCGCGGACCCCGCAGTCTTCGTGTCCTGCAGTTTAAAGTCGAAAGGCGTCTTCCTCGCCACCCACCCCCGATCCCCCCCTAGCACCACCACCACCAACCACCCCCTTCACAGGCAATCAATCAGTCAGCAACTCGCGAATGGGCCAAATTCACAAAACGGCGCGGAGGCGTTCTGTTCGCGGCATACACGATTCACGTTGCCTCGAAGTCCTCCCGAATACGCCTACAAACCGGGAGACGGTGGCGTTCATCGCGTCTGCACCTTGACTCGCGTGGACTCCCTCGCCCGTCGATGGGTGGCTCGAGGGGCGTGCAGCGGCTGCAGTTCAGGAGCCGCGCCGCATTGGCCGCAGCGTTGGGGTGCTCCCGACTGCATGGCTGCAGGTTGCCCGCCGGACGCTGTCCGTGCAGGCCGCTGCCGCGCGCTCCGGGCGGCCTTGCGCCCTGGCACAGCTGCGGGCCCCAAGATGTCAGATCCAGATATTTCCGTGGGAGCTGGTTGCCGCCGAGACAAGAGTCGAAGATATGCGGGAAACAGGTGGAGGTCGGCAAAATTCCTGGGGCGACGTGCACACTCACAAACATGTCCACAAATGATGGCTTGTCAATGGTTTCACAGGACTAGTCTGCTGTCGGGTAGTCGCATCATGAACTTGCAACAAAGTTGCAACATGGAACCTGCCTTATTGTGGCGCAGAATTTATTGTCCGCTGCGCTCATTCATCATTAAATTGGGCAAGCTTGATGAACAAGAGACTGACACTTAAAAGAAACAAACATGGTAGTGTACAACATGACATGCTGAGTACCGACCATTGTGCTTCCCCATTTGCAGCCTTTCTTTGCATAGCCCATCTGTTTATTTGTACATGATTTGATTGTCAAGCACCGATGCCAGACTATTCAATTGAACAATCAGATCTGATAGTTGTAGCAATATCTGAGAGGACCTCACCCAACACCTTCTTCCTCATTTCCTCCACATCACTGAGAAGCGTTTTTGCCTCATTGTGCTTCTCTGATAGCTCAACACCAACAATAGATTGTTCCAAGATGTAGCAACATCCAAGTGGGCACTACCCAAAACTTTCTTCCTCATTGCTAGCCTCTTTTTGAGAAGACACTATGATTCTTCAAAGTTGCCCTAATTGTACAGCACCAATACCAGAATTTGCAAAAGATATGGTAATACCCCATGTACCATACACACCACTTTTCTCCTCATTTCTAGTCTTTCTTTTTAAATCATGTGTGTCTCTTTGTGTTTATATTGATTGTCATACAACCAAGTTAAATTGTTCAAAGATATGACAACATATGGATGGGCCTCACAAGACACTGTCCTCATTATTTTCAGCCCTTCGTTGTGAAGCCCCTCTCCTTCGTGATACTTCTATTGTTTATCATGCTTAATACGGGTTCTGAGGCGATCATGATTCCTCACCATGCCGCCTTCTGTCAGGGTGTTTTATTGCCTTGCTCCTCGCCTTGTGTCATGTCCGGGATTGTTTGCATTGATGGTGAGAGGGGGGCTAGTGGCGGTGTCAACAGGGTTATGTTAGGAAACGAGTGGTGACACAATTTGGGGGTGGTTGTAGGCTGTAGCTAAACTATTCTCAGATACTAGGGGTTGGGATGGAGGGTGGGGATAGCGGCCACAAAGTTCGTTAAGGTTTCTTAGATTTTGCTGAGAGACCCATTTACCCTTCTTATTGCAAAAATGATCTTATGTTTTTGCTGTTGATCAACAGCTCATATGAGCTACAGTGCTAGGACCATATGGGATGTGAGGGATTAATATGCCATGCAAATTCCCCATTTGTTCCTTGTAGAAGTATCTGTGACACTTCCCAATTGCAATGTTACCTTTATTGTCAAAACTAATGGTGTATGGATGTGGGGAGCTCTTAGACACTTTTGTACAGAGCTACAATAGTTGATGCCTCACTATGGTATGTTGGCATGTTGCACTTCGATTCAATAGTTTCGGTTTTCTAATTAGGGGTTAGTTTTGATTCTTGAAGGTTGTAAGGGACGGGGTTTCTATCAAATGATCTAGGAGTTCCTCAAGGATGCGATTGTGACCACTGTCACCCTGCCTTCTTGGGTGACTACTTTGAAATCCAAATATGCGGTTGCTTTTGCGGGTTGGTCTTGGCACGTCTCGCATGTATATGGTTTGTAGCTCCTCTTTTTGCTTTCCTCTTCTATGGAAACTGCAGCCTCGTAGTCCCATAATGTTTGAAAAGATGGGCAAGAAAACAAGGGACTCTTTTGCTCTTGTGTTCTTATGTTTGCAAGGCTACACAATCCAAGGAATTGCAGAGATGGTGTACCCAAGAGGGAGTGACATAGGAATACTCCCCTCCTTACCATCATGTGTCCATTGGATTTATAGAGCGGTTCAAACAAACACTTCTAAACCGTTTGAGGCGCATGTAGGCAGAGGAGCCTCAGTGTTTTGCTAGGACAGTTGAGTGGGTGGTAGAAATCTACAATAACATGCCTCTCTGTTTATCCGAAGAGAGCAAAAAGTCTCCTAGCTCATTCGTGTTTAGATCATCGAACCAGTTATGGAATAGCTCATAATTTATATGTTGATGGTTATGTGAGTACACATTCCAACATCGCATAAAGGCAAACCACAAGACAAGGGGATAATGTACACAACGAGCATTCAAGGCAAGGGATCGGGTGTGGCTGTGGCATGCAAAGGTCAAAACGCTCAAGGACAAGCTCGAGCAATGGTGGAACGGTCCGGGGCAGTTGATTCGCCCCATAACAAATGTAGTTTGGGAAGTGCGAGGGCCAGGGGGGAAAATACTAGTTAGACACACTGATATGATTCGGCAGTATAAAGATGCAGTCTAAAGGGATAAGTTGGTTCAACCGAGTGATTGTTTAGCGCAAGAAAGCCTGTGAGGGTGAGGAAGTTATGGAGGGTAGTTATGTGAAAATGTGATAAAGTATGATGTTCTCAAACATGGTGAATGTGGTGGCAAAGGCATGGCGAGTATGGGAACGGTGATTGGATAACTGGGAACATTTTTTTGTGAACACTATTTGGTTGATGTGTTTGTCTTGTAGCACATCTAGTTATGACCGCACTTCCTGTGTCTGGGAGCGATTGTGTGCGAGCATGTGAGAACACCGGTCAGCTTGGTAGTATTGATGCAAACAAGTTGAATGTATTGTGATAGTGCTCCTTGAATATTGGACCATAGCACCACTCTGGATTCTTTGGTGCACTCATATTCTTTTTGTAAATGACAAATACTAGTCGAATGATAGTACTTGACAATTGTGTGACTCAAGCCTAGAATTCAAAAATGCTGATAGATATTCTCTCCCTTTCCTGGGTAAGCAAAGCCCCTGATTGCGCCATTGTTTAACCAAAAGTGCATAGCTCAGAGTGCATAGTTGTTGCTGCTATTATGGTTGTAAGCTTGAAGTCGCCTTGCAAAATGAGGAGACTACGGAACCAAGTTGTGTACTACTCCTCCATCAATCACAATTGTGGTTTTGATACCCTCAAGAGCCTTTTCACCACTACATTGAAAACTCAGAAATCAGTGAACTTTATTTTCATGGTGGTTTCAGAATAGGCCACCAGCATGGGTGAGGGGGCCACAGGTGTGCATATCACTACAAAAGTTTTGATAACCGCCTTTCTATACAATGGACACAGATCACTAGAAATGGGTGAGTTAAGAACATGTGTGAGTACCACCTCAAGCGCCATTCATATTACTGCAAGAAACGATGCCACAAGAGATTTCTGATGGCACCTTTTCCCAATGCACAAACACCCACCACACAGATGCTTGGTGTCTCGGATTGCCCATTTATTTTTGTTATGTTTGTTGGGAATAAGCTCATCTTAAATAGAGATATTTAGTACACTAGGCGGGTCATACATAAAGAAATGTCCTTAACTAAGAGTTTTGACATACATAGCCATGCAATGGCTATCTTCCAAAACCAAGAGGCCTATTGGGTTCCAAGTTGTAGGTATGTTAATGCGTTAATATTATGGATTTCTGGCAATCACCTATGGCAAGATAGAGATACCAACGTGCCATGTTTGTTAATTGTCCATTATGAAAGTTGCCAAACATTGGGCCATATCCTGACTGGCATTGGTATCCATGCTATTGCGGGGCCCTTTTTGATGGCCTCCACTGGTCCCCTTTGTCGCGCAAGTCCCTTCATCCGTCTGCACCCGGTTGGGCCGATGGCCCCTCCGCCGAATCCGCGGGCGTAATCAGGGTGCTCGCTCGTTCGTTGCACGGTGGGCCCTCTTGCGCTCTGGGATCAGGCGATCCTGCCATTCGAAGACGGCGGATTGCAAGGCAGCTTGCTCCCCGGGCCGCGAGGCCCGTGTGGAGCACGGCAGTGAGCCAAACGGGTAACAGAGCGGGGAGCAACGCACCCCCGCGTATGTACTGGTGGTCGGCCACATTCCGGTCCGACCACCCATCAAATAAACACCACACAATGTACATCAGCATGTCACGACTGTATCGCCCGGCATACCCCATATCGGACCTACTATTGATACACCGTAGCCCAATCTACCCCCACGGCCTATCCCTTAAGTATAGGGATTTCCCTAGGCCACAAACTACTCCATACCTAAGGGATAAAGACACAGAAAGAGCCTACGAGTATCTAGAGATCACAAAGAATCCAAATAATGGGTCGAGTCCCATAGATGACTAACCAACCAAGGCTAATGGTTATAATTCTCTCGACCCCCATGTGTTTCCACAATAGTACTTCCCCCTGGGGGGAATTTTCGCCCTCGAAAACAAGACCGAAGTCGATGTCCTCTATCGGTTACCCAATGGTTGACCTAACTGCCAAGCTAGCATCACCTCAGGTATACTCCAATGACCATCCGTTTAATCTCTCGGTAGAATTTTGGGATATGTTCCAGTGTACAAGAAAATCAACTAACCTTCTTGCTATCGGGACCTCTTTAGTATCACTGCAACAATTGCTCATCTCAAAATCTCTAAGTCAAGCCTCTCCCATCACTGTGTTGGATGTACACTCGTGTTCATCTTGAAAGCAGAAAAGATGAAATAATATTGTGACCTGTGTCCAAATATAGCAGGTCAGCACAAGTGCTATCTACCTGTACACTAAATGTGTTGCCGGTCGACCAGGAGCATCCGACTATCCACTACCTGACAAATCTGATGCAAAAACAGAAAACTTATGAGCTAGTTGTCCATCTGGGGATCGGTATACATGTACTGATAATCCTCTCTGTCCTAATCCCTCAGATAAATCTATCTCTCCAAAGTATTTTTTTCTTTTTTGAAACTGCAATGTACCTTAGTCATTCCATCTCTAAATCCACTATGACAA